GGATGGGGGGAGGGAGAAGCCATGGGGTGAATGGGTGAGGAGAGGAAAGCTGTGGAGTCGAAGGGTCTTTTCCCCTAAATACTTAGCAGAGGGAGAGAATCTGGGGGACTTTCCTTCCCCAGAAGGTCTTTGCCGGGGGACTCCAACCCCCTGCGTGTATTGGGAGCTGTTAAACCCCTGCTCAGACTGGTGTTGGGAAGCAGTTTGGGGCCTGAACCGAAGCCCACTGGGGGGGGCCCTTGACCTCCAAGGCATTTGGCGCAATCAGACACTTGGCGAGTTCGTTAGCTCCAGTCTGGGCAGTTTCCCCGCTGGGGAAGGCAGCCCCGGCTTCAGGATGGACCCAGGCTGGCTTCCACCAGGGCTTTCCCTTGGCGAGGGGGGCAGGGGCCTTGTCCCAGGCACGGTCCCTCAGCCTAGCCTGGGCAGGAGGTGGGTCTCTAGTGCTTGGACGGTGATGGGGATACAGAGCCCTGCACCTCAGGCACGTGGCATCTGAGCCAGCCCATTGTGGGAACGCCTGACAGCGGCTGTCTCGGGCGGCGATTTGGTGCCTGCCTGCGGACTCGGTCCAGTTCCCCGCTGCCCCCGTCACCAAATAGCCCTTTGTGGTCAGCCGCAGCAGAGAGGCCACAGGGCTGGCTGGGTTGTGGAGGCCGAACTGCCCTCTCAGGCCCCTCCACGCCCGAGGGGAGCACATGATCCCAGAAGCTGGCGCTGCCCACGTCGTGCCAGAGCAGGTGAGCTCCGTGGGGCAGCGGGGCTCCCAGGCACTACCACACCCACAGCACCACCAGGGAATGTGGGGTCCAGGCAGCCAGCCCAGCGCGGAGGTCCTAGGCCCGGAGACCACAGTGTGCTGAGCACGTCAGCAGGGACGGCGCTCCGGTGAGGGTTTGTGTTTGCCCTGCAGGGCGCAGTGACCCGCTGGTGCTATTGTGTTGCTGCGTCATGACGCGGCTGGGTTCGAGTCACAACATCACAGCGGGTCGGGACGACATTGCCCCCCCAGGGACAGGCAGGGTACTGACGCCACACGACAGGAGTCCTGGGCCTTGCAGGATGGCAGCCGCGGGGACCTACCCTGTCCCTCCAGCTCAGCAGCACGCGTAGCGGGGCCCCCGGTTCTCCCCGACAGGCTGCTCTAATTTCAAATGGGGGGGGGTGAACTTTGCTCAGCTACACCAGTGCGAATCTGGCTTGACTCCAGATTCCCACTGCTCTAAGGGACTGAGCGTAGCTGGTCTGCAGGAAGCTCTTTCCAGCGCTGGAGTGGGGGGTCATCCGTCACGTTGGATGCTGAGGGCCAGATCCTCAGCTGGTGTAAATCGGGGTCGCTCCAGGGAAGTCAATGGAGCAATGCCAGTTTACCCCAGTAGCCAAATGACGCCAGCTGAGGAGCAGGCCCCAAATGCCAGTAGGGTCCATTTCAGTGAATCCGGCTTGTGATCAGAGGCCCGGGTTTGTGCCCAGAAGCTCCAAGCCTTAGATCCCTCAGCATTACGGATGATAACGCTGGATCTGCTTGTGATCCGGAGCCACGTCCAATCCCTTTGCGACTCGTGCTAAGGCACACGCTAGGGTGCTGGTCGTGCACGACTGAGCCTCTCGTATCTCAGACACGGATTCAGGTCTGCTCCAGGTCAGCAGAGAACTGAGCTGATAAGAGCCATCAGCCCGTTGGTCGCCTGTGTGAAATGGGCACGAGGACTGGCGCTATTAACGAGCGCCCTGGTGGGTGGTCTCTGCTCGGAGACCGAGGGCCAGATTTGGCTCTGTTACACCACTTCAAAGCGTTGGTGTATTTGGGTGGTGGTGCCCCAGGCATGGATCAGCTAGGAGCTGTACGGACCTGCAACAAAGCGTTGGCCCCTGCCACAAAGAGGGGCAGTCGGCATGTGAGAGGAGAGACCGAGGGGAGCCCAATGGAAGCTGTCACAGCTCACCGGCTGCCACGCACTCATGGTCACCGCTGCCGTGGGCCCGTCAGCCCGGTGACAATGCTGCTTTCAGCGGGAAATGAGAAGCGTTGGGTTCCCCGCCCCCCTCTCTGCTGGGCCCCGTATCCACCTCCAGCCTCGCGGCCTCACTCTGTGCGTTTGTTTCTCCAGAGACAGTCCCCTACACGCCCCAGATCACTGCCAAGTCGCTGGAAGGGAAGCTCACCGCGACCACCTTCACGCTGGACCAGCCCATCTGCATCTTCGATCAGTACGTGAACAGCACCGATGACATCTGGCTGGTCGTTGCCTTCACTAACGGTACGTGTGGCTCCAGACCCCGCCAGGCACCTTTCCCTGTGCCTACAACAGCCTTTGCCAGCCCCGATATGGCACTGTCTGAGGAGGAAGTTCACAGGCACCTCTATTCCCCTTTTGGCTTTTCCTTCCTCTGTCTCGCTTGAGAGATTGTAGGGCTGTGTCTCCTCTCTAAGGGGTTACTCCCTGCCCTAGTAAAGGCAACGGGGTCGGAGCACGGCACTAGGACACCTGTGTTTTAGTCCTGGCTCTGCAACTGACTCACTCTGCGGCCTTGGGCTAGTCACGGAGGCTCACATTTTCAAAAGCAACCTCTGAACTTGGCTGCCTCAATTCGTGGAGGCCTGAGCTAGCAGGAAGTTAAAGAAGATCCTCTGTCCAGGCCCGAGTCAGGCAGGGTTTAAAGCTGCCATCCAAATGAGCTGCACTGTGCCCAGCCAAGGGGTAGAGGGAGCCAAAGGACACCCTGGCCCCTAATTTAAATGAGTTCAGTGAAATACGTGTTTGCATGAAATTTTCGGCTGGGCTCTAGAGATTCCTAGGAATGTGGAGTTTGCCACACTGGAACAGGCCGCTGGTCCTTCAGGTTTGGTATCTTGCCTCTAGCTGCGGCTTCAGGAGAACACCTGCTCCATTATGCACCTAGCCAATTGCACAATGCTGTGAATGGAGGGGAAACACCCCTGCAGCCCTCACCTTAGGCCCTGGAGCGGGACTTTGGATTGCTCATATCTGAGCGTGGGGACGACAGCTCTATACAGCTGGATCGCTTTGTCCAGCCCTTTGAACAAATCCCGCGGCAGATCGAGACGCTAACCACCTGCCGGCATTCCTAGGGGAGCAAGAATCCTCTGGATGCTTAACCCAGCCAGCCTGGCAGTGATCTCACGTTCATTACCCACTGCCCGGTTTCCGCAGAGGGTGCTCTGCCTTTGTAGAATAAAGCCCGGTCCGCCCTTAAAACGGATCCCGCCTAGCTGTGCTGGCTCTGTGGAAAAACCACTGTTCCTGTGCCAATGCAGTGTAGACACAGCTATGCTGACAGAAGACTGCTCTGCAGTGTGGACGCAGCGTCTTGCGTCCTGGCTCCATTCCCCAGCACTGGGAAATCACAAACATCCTGTGCATTTCAACCAGGCAGCGTGTCTCTCTGCTGCAGCCGGCGCCGATTTGCAGTGTTAGCCCGTTCTCTGTGCCCGCTGCGACGCACTGCTCTCTGTCCCGGCGTGGCAGCTCCCTCGCTGGGACCCGCAGGCTTCGGGCACAAGAGTTTCACTGCACACGGCCTGGCGATGCGCCATCCATGGGCCACTCTCGCGATTTTGGTTCCTAGTGTGCACGGGGCGGAATTATTGCCGGGGCAGGCGCTTGCAGCAGGAGAATACCCACCCGTGGGCCATCCCTCGTGCTTCTGTTCATACTGTGACACGTACACTTAGACCTGAGGCGCTGACCGTTGGAGTCATTGGCAAGACAGTCGGTAATGCAGCAGCTGGGCTGGACACGGTCCCCACCCACCGAGCAGATGGTCAGATCTAGGGAAGGTCTTTGCTGCAGAGTTAACTCAGGTGATCAGCCCCTGGATCTGAGCACCCGGGTTAGCCTCGCCTGGGTGTCAGCAGCCCTGCTGCAAAGTAACTTCGGGGGGCCCGTCCCATGGTTCGTAGCGCTGCAGTGAACTGAGCGGCTCTGATTGCGGCCCGGTGAATTGGGGAGAACATGTCTGTCCTCCTGGGTGCACGGGGTGAATCGTGGGAAGGCAGCACAGTTATCAGCACTGGCATGGTTCAGCCTGTGTCCCCACTGGAAAATGGACAGGTGGTTTGCCTGAGGGAAAGCCTCCCCCGGGTTTGAGCCTATACCCCCGGCTGGGTCAGTTAGTCGGGTTGAAAAACGCCACTCAATTGGGGTGAGAGGGCTTGGTATGTGGACGGGAGGAGGGCTAGGGGCAGCCCATGCGTAAAAGCCAGAGTTAACTCTGCAGTGAAGACAGATCCCTGTTCAGGTCACAAGCCCTAACACTGCTCTAGCTAATGCAGATCCTATGTTGGCCCAAGGAGTAGCAGCTTGTGCTTTCAGTGCAGATAAACCCAAGCTCCATCCTTACTCACAGCCACAGGGGGATGCTGAGTTTGCTCAAGCAATGACCATAACAGTCAGGGGTCTGCCCTGAAATGATCCCCATTCCGAACCTGTGCCTTTCTATACTTATGGGGCTTGGGGTGCAGGTTTTTTCAATGTATTTAGGGGCATTTCTAGGCTCCCTATCTCCACAGCACCTGTGCCACTCAGCACCAATGGATTTAGCTTCCCAGCACCTCTGTGACATGACGAACGATTTAAATATGGGGAAACTGAGGCACTGTGGGATTAAGTGACTTGCCCAGGGTCAGCCTGGGAGTCAGTGGCAGAGCTGGGAATGGAACAACCATTTCCCAAGTCAAGTACCTTGACCACCAGCCCAGCCTTCCCGCCTAATCCGGTAACACTCTCTTCTTTTTCATCCACAGTCACATCCCATTTCAAAAATCCAACCTCAAAGATCCAAATCCCTCCCTACCAGAAGCTATCGACCGCTCTCCATTACATGACGCTGAAGACTTCCATAGCCTTCTACCCATGTGCTGAAAACAGGCCCCCTAGCGTGCTCCGGGTTGGCAGTGACACGTCCTGCAAAGACGACCGCAGCCTGGAGTACTGCAACGGACCCCTGCCTCATCCCGGTCCCTACAGGTACGACAGTCTGAGCCCAGGCAGTCCAGCAGATAGAGGCCTGGCTGCCCTCTCCCTCACACAGCGGAAATCACGAGTAACTCCCGGGCAGGCAGCGGACTCAGTCCCATATAGTTAGAGATTAGAGATCACCTGTATTTGCCGTAGCCCCTAGGAACCGCTGTCCTGAACCATGGCCCCGCTGTGCAAGGCGCTGTACACACACAGGATAGACAGATGGTCCCTGCCCCAAGGAGATTCCTGATAACAAATTCAACCTCTTTAATGTTAACTCCCCTTGTCCCTCCATTCCCACCCTCTCTGGCTTTCTGTCTCCTCCGATCGGTGCAGCACCCCCGGCAATCTTCACACCATCAAAGCTTGCTCTTTCCCAGTCTAGAACTCACTCGCGCACAGAATCCAGCACGTGCATTTGCTAAGGAGGCTCCTGGTTCTTTTTAACCCGCTCTTTGTGGCTGGGTTGGCTGGGTGCAAGGAAGTTTAAGGAGCCTGCTAGATCCTGGCTCCTAGATCACAGGGCTGGCTCTGCCACCTCTTCCCACTCCAGCCACTCAGTTGCCTTTTGTAATTAACTGGCTCTTTAATGATAAGTGCCCCAGTGTGGTCATTTCTGCCATCCTCTCAGTCCTGATGCAAGAGGCACCTGCTCTTCCTCACCTGCCGCTCAGGAAAAGGGCATTCCTTCTCTCTTCTCACTGTTCTTCCATTCTCCCCTTACTCCCCAGCCCCTGTCTTAAGACACCAACTAACTCCTGAGCATGGCGGGCGGAGTGGTTTGCAGATATCTAATCCCACATGGTGCTGGGGAAAGGGGCATCACCAGGGAAGCAACCAGAGAAGACCCCCGTGCTGGCTACCTGAGCAGAGAATTGGGTTAGATTCTGCCTTTAGTATACATCCTTCCAGCCCGTTGACTTTAGTGGGGTTGTGCAGGTGTATCTCAGGGCAGGATCTCACCCAGGAAATTTGCTGGCACCACGGGGCTTTGCATTTTGGAGGTTTCTACGTACACAGAAAGATAGAGAACAAACCTCTCTTCTACTTCAGAACTACAGTTCCTCGTGCTGTGTGAGGATAGGTTCTTTGCGGAATAATATTCAGCCACTAGATGTCTCCCTGTGCTCCATACACTTGCAGGCAGGGCGTGGTCCCTGGTAAACAAGGGTAACCATGCTGGAATTTGAGCTGCGTGGCAACCTGTTTGTGTCTCTAGTCAGTAGCTGTATTCTTTAACAAATACCTCCCGCTTAAGGAGGACTTTGATTCCATAGACCGTGACTAAGGTTAATATTCTGTCACTGTTATTTTTAGTAAATGTCATGGGCAATAAACAAAAATTCACTGGAGCCATAAGGTGGGGAAGAGGGGGCTGGGGACAGGGGAATGACAGCTGGACCCTGTGGGTGGGGGGGTCTAAGAGCCCGAGCCCCACCCCAGGGGGCGGGGGGACTGACAGCCCAAGTCCCACCACCATGGGGGAGGGGCATACAGCTCCAGCCCTGGCTGCAGTGGGGTGGGGGGCGTAAAGCCCCAGCTCCGTCCCCACTGCTGACAGCTGAAGCCAAAGTCATGGAGGTCCGGTAAAGTCACAGAATCTGTGACTAAATCGTATCCTTAACCACGGCAGTCTGAGTGTCCCTCTTAGCATACACTGCGCCTGCCGATCACTGTCGTACCTAGGTCCTGATATACCAAAGGCTGATAATACTGGACATCTGCTTTGGGGGTCTTTAATCTAAAGAAGAAAATCAGAATAAGATCCACTGTCTGGGAGCTGAGACTCAACAAATTCAGACTAGGAATAAGGCATAAGTATTTAATAGTGAAGGTAATTAACCACTGGACCAACCGACCTTGCGACCCAGGGCAGTCTCCATCTCCTGAAGTCTCTAAGGCCAGAGCAGATGGCTTTCTAACAAGGATGCTATGGCACAAGTAGGAGTTAGGGGCTCGACCCGGCAATGAGTGGGGAAGGTTCTGCAGGAGGTCCAGGTACATGATCAGAATGGGCCCTTCCAGCCTTGAAGAACTAGGAGTCGGGGTAAAGGTGATGGCAAGGAGAAAGAGCCAGATCCTCTACTGGTGTCATTCACCGTAGCTCCATTGAATTCAGTCGAGCTGCATCGAGATGTGCCAGCAGAGGATCCAATCGATGGTGTCTTGGGCCAGCTGTCTGGAGACAGCCTATGGACAGACAGACCCAGGATTTGTCGGTGACAAGTTGGGTCAGTTTTGCTCTCCAAGCGTGAGAGGTCTACGTGGCTTTGCCGTTTGCACCTGCATCCCTGATGCTCCAACGTGGGCTGGGCTGGAGCCCTGCCAAATGTCACTGACCTTCTCTCTTCTTTTCTCGCCGGCTCTTTCAGAGTGAAATTTCTCATCCTGGATACCAATGGGTCCAAGGCAGAGACAAGATGGTCCCAACAAATTATACTGAAGCAAGGTAACCCTGGAAGAACAGGGAAGGGGCGTCTTGCATTGTAAGCATCTTGGGGGAGGGTTCTTGTCTCCTTTAAGCCTTGTAAAGGGGGATGATCCCACCTCCACTCTCAAGGCAGCACATAGGGACTTGGGTTCCTGACTCACCCTCTGCACGCTTCCTCGGGCTTGTTAGGATGGTATGTACCAGCCAGAGCTGGCAGATCCCAGGGTGTCTCCTTGCAGGCCCCCTGTCCCTCCCTGCTCAGAGATACTCAGTCTTTTAAGCTCCTGAGTTGTAGTTAATTGGGCCCGCCTGGTCTAGTTGCCCGGGTGAGTCAGTAGAACAGCTCTGCACCTCCTATAGGCCCTTACAGCCTGATACTTGGTCAGAAGCCTTGAGTGACCAGGCTACGTTACAGCTCCCTATTGGGAATCAGACACTGAGCTACCGGGGCACCGTGCCACCCATACAAACCTGGGAGAGGGAAGTGACTGTCTGAGCAGCACTAAGGGAGCTGGCCCTAAATGATCCCAGCTTCCGCCATCCTCCTCCCTATTTCCTCTCCTCCCTTCCCTGCTGGATCCCTTCAGTCCCCACCACCGTCCCCTCCGGCTCCCTGCCCTCCCCGAGCCCCTCCATGCCCGCGGTGAAAGCTTCCCCTGCCGTGTGCCCCAGGTCGCAAGGCGCGCTCCATCGACACCTGGCCCGGGAGGCGCAGCGGCACCATGGTCGTCATCACTTCCATCCTCTCCAGCTTCATCGGCGTCCTGGTGATCTTGTTCCTGTGCACGGTCGCCTACGAGTGGTGAGTGCCGCCGCCCAGAGGGAGGCGCAGCCCGGCTGCGCCTTGGAGCAGAGACTGGCTCAACCTGGGGGGGCGGGAATCTGTGAAGCCAGGCCAGTGGGAAGGCTCTGATGTGCTTTCTTTGGGGAATGGCGAGTGAGCTGCCCTCCCCACCTGGCACTCACGCAGCACCCACCCTCTCTGCTCAGCACCCTGGGGTCAGAGGGCAGCAGCCCGGGTGGGGCCGGTGTGCCCCGGCCGCGGTCCCCACCCCCCCAGCACTGGGCTATGAGAGTAGACGCAGGGCCCCCCCCAGCAGCCACTCGGCCTGGCGCTGCGGGAAAAGGGTTGGGTGCTGGGCCCGCCGAGCTGCTCACCAGCTGCGTGTCTGTGGGTTGTTTACAGCTTTAAGCTTTGGCGGCGAGAGGAGCCCGCGGTCCCGGAGGAGCCACGCGCCGGGTCCTTCAGAGAGAG